GTTCCAGAACATTCTACAGAACATTCTACAGAACATTCTACCGGATCATCAGCAGAACATTCTACCGGATCATCAGCAGAACATTCTACCGGATCATCCGCCTGCTTCGGGTTTCTAGGAGCCAACTTCTACGTTCTCGTGAAACGCCGTCAGCTCAGCACCGTCTCAGTTCATAAGAACAGCAGATGTTGTTTTCACCTCTCCCTCTTTACCCAGAATGCATCAGAGCAGTCCGTTCTGCAGACTGAAAACGTTCCCAGCATGCACTGCGGCAGCAGCAGCTTCCAGGTTAGCGCTCACAGAGCTCAGAGTTAAGCTAAAGCTATAAAAACACGTTTTAAGATCATTTAAGGTGAGAACTTTATACTTTAAGCTTCACTAGATCTATGTTTATCAGACGGTTCATCATTAGTCCTCCACTAAATAAACATTTATTATAATTTAGAGACTATTAATAACAGGAGGTGAAATGCAGCTCCAGACTAGCTTTGATGATGTCATCAGTACGCTGCTGTTCCAGTTGACCCAGAGTTATTCTGCGTTCTCCTGTTCTCCCCAAGTCCAGACTTTCCTGGGTTCTAGTCCAGAATAGACTTGGACAGGAGTCTAAACTGGCGTTCTAGTGAATCCATCTTGAAGCTACTGTGGTGCGTTCACTGGCGTTCAGTAAACTAGAGAACTGATGGTGCTGCTTCTCATCAGACGGCTATCGTCCCTCAGGGACGTGTCCATGTCAGCGTTTTCATGTCCAAGACTGGAGACTCTTATTTTGAAAGCGGCTCCCTGACAGACCGAGTGATGCTGATACTCACCCAGAACACGTCGTAGACAAACAGCCCCCCCAGCAGGATGCAGCCGGTGCTGACGTTGTTCAGGTGGAGCAGCTCCACCCCGTTCAGCGCGAACGCCAGCCCAAACAGGTTATTGGCTATCCAGTGCTGTGATGTCACAGAGAACGCAGCAGTGATTGGCGGGGAGCAGAAGGGGCGGGGGGTGATACATGCAAACACAGCTTACCTTTTTGAGCAGGTACCAGACCCCCACCACGCTGCTGAGCACCAGACACACCAGGTTCTTGGTGTCGAACTCATAATTCACAATTTCTGAGGGCAGACGGACATTTGGGACATTAGGAGGCGCAGTTTGCTCCGACTTGAAAACCTTTAATTTAAACTGGAGAAGCCAGAGTGTCCTTCTGATCCACTACACCAGATAAAAAACATGGAAGCAAAGCTTCACAGTTGAAGCAGCGTCTGAAACGTTTCACTGAACGCAGCTTCAATCGGATGTAATTCACTGAGGCTCCAGCAGGGGGCGGCGTGGCGCCAAGAATGCAATGAGAGCAGAAAGGCCCCCAGTCATCATTTAGTCTGACTCCAGGCAGGATGAGGAGCTGGAAGATCCACATGCAGCTCAGATCAGGATGTTGGTGAAGATTCTCAGTCATTCTAAAAGAGTTCAAATCAATCCGCTGGACTTTGTTTCTAAGTTTGAAGACGTTTCTCTTCCAACCAGGAAGATTTTTTCAATTCAAAATGTCAGAAATAGCATCGAGTTCCAGGTTTTATATAGCCGCTCAACAAAGCCTTTTTATTTATTTTTAAACAGGTCCACCCCAGAGGAACGGGGGTCGTTTAGCTTCTGCGCTCCTCTTTGTTGGGCGGCTGTATCGTTTTTGTTTTAAACTTTGTTTTTTTGGAAAGACTGAGATCAGGATGTTTCCTCAGCATCCAGCTGACGGATGGAGCTCCTCCAGGCCGGACCCTTTAAAACTGATCAAATCAATAAAGTCAATGCTAACACTCCCATCAGCTGTGGCGTTGCTATGGTTACCAAGGCTAGCAAAGTCTTTCAGCAGGAAGGACGGACACTGGAACCGTCTCAGCATCAAGCTCTGACCCACCAACCTATGCTAACTAGGACTGCTAACCAGCACCGCCAAC